CCACCACACAATGCTGTGTATTCAGCAAATGGCTCTAATAACATTACTATTGATTCTATTGCTTTCCAATGACGAGCTTGAGGTCCATCCCACTCTAATTTGGATATGACGCTTTCGACATGAGGGCGTACAGCAAGTAACCGTTTGAGAAGGAGGTATGTAGAGCTCCATCTGGTAGGACAGTCTCCAATAAGCTTTTTGCCAGATAACTTGATCAACATTTCTGTGGCCTTTACTGATTTATTGAAACGAGACACTAGTTTCTTGCAAATAGAAATTGCTTCTTTGCAAGGCTTGACATCATCAAATTTAGCCACAATTAGCTGTAACGTGTGAGAAAAACATGAGAGGCGTTGATATTCCTCTGTAGCAAAAGCATCATTGTGCTCTTCTTTATTGTCGTCAAATTCAATGACATTTTCAGTAGTGTCACTGACTTCTGGTTGGTCATTATGATGATTATTATAGTTTGTTCCCTCATCTTCAGACTCTGGCAGGTCTACTACTAGTACGTCAGACTCAGTGTCACTGTCAGTGTCAGTCATATCGTCATCACTAGAGTAGTTGATGGTCTCCTTAAAAGCCTTCAGCATGTTACTGCCATTATCAGTCACAATTTTTCCAACCTGACTACACGAAATATCCCAATCATTGAGCACTACTTTGACAAGGTTAAGTCCAGTATGAGGACTTTCAAAATGCCTAACAGCTAACGTTGCCTTATATCTTTGGTGGTTTGCAAAGAAGTGGGCTGTTACTCCAAGATATGATTCGGTCATTCCCTTTTTGCTCCATATGTCACAGCAAAGGTTAATTTTTCGTGCACTCTTGAGCTCCTTCAATATGTTATGTTTCAATTTTAAAACAGCCTTTGATAGTTCCGTTTTTATAGCTGATCTACCAGGAACTACATAACGTGGATCCATTTCATGTAGAAATTCACGGAACTCCTGGTCCTCTACAAGTGTTGTCGCAACATTTGCTGAGCCAATGAAAATAGCCAGCTTTTCTGTTATCCTCTTTTGTTTAGCACTCTCTTTTGAGTAAGGGGTTCGGCTTAGCATTGAAGTGAGTAATGGTTGGGTTACAATGCTCTTCATTGATGTATTAGTAGCGGCTTTCTGTAGCTTAAAAGCCTCCTCTTTTTCCAAAAACTTCTTAAAATCATTGGGGTGGTGTTTACGCATATGTTGTTTTAAGTTTGTTGGATTCTTTCCCTTAATGGTCTTCCCACATTGAGTTGGCTCCTCACTTCCTTGTGAAATTTTGACTCTGCATATGCTGCTATCTGAACACTCATCATAGTCAAAAAGTTCCCAAACAAGACTTGTCTTTGGCCTCCCACTAATTTGAGTTTCAGATGATGAGGTTATGGAAGTAGTATGTAGAGAATCTAGAGACAGAGTCACTTCAGTAGTAGCTTCGGTTGCCATCTTAACAGGTGCTATCATAAAATTTGAAATTGACTACCAGAGGCTATCAGGCTAGTATGAGCATTAATACATTACTATTATGCTAACCTGTATTGTTTTGTATTGGTGTGCCTGTTCAATGTATTTTATGTGTTCATGTGTAGATAAGGACATAGGGCATGTGAATGGGCTAATATTTTAATAATAGACTCGAGTTAGACACTTAGACTATAGACTTAACTTTCCTTTTTGTAAATTTTTTAGTTTTACTAATTGTCAAATAGTTAGTAGTAGTTAGTTTTTGAT